TAGCTTATATATATAATATATATTTTACAGTAAGCTTGTCCTGCATACATGCAAATGTAGTACAACATCAAAAATAGAATAATAATATTGTTGGAGTAGAGAAAATAATTCAATTATCTTCTTATAAACTACATTCATGTACATGCAACATACATATATGCATGTATGTATGTTAGTATTTATGTATGTAGTTAACATCGACAAATAGTAAAGGATTTATGTGTCTATCGTTGTATATGGAATATTCGTAATAATTGCCAAATGGTGCGCTGCTTGCAATGAAAGGAACATTCTGTTAAGTAAACCATTTGCATGAAGTTCTTGGCGTTTCATTTATTGCATAGTATCACTAGCCACATACCATCCCTACATACGCCATAGCTGGACTTAATCAAGACGATTCAGCATATTGCAGTAACAAGGAGAACGCAGACAAATTCAAATATCTGCATATGCCTAATGCTAAAACACGGACAACCAATCGAATCTAATTGTGCGTGACAGCCCGAGTCGAAAATGCAATGGTGTTATATATTAGCAGAGCTTCTCTTTGGAAGTTTGATTGCCTTCGTGCATAGCGTAGTGCGAGCTATGACGACTATCAGAGCAGCAAATGCTGCGCTGAAGTTGCTTTGCAAAGTCAATGGTTTCCTTTGTATTTTTACGTTGTATGGTTAGTTATAGCACGTAGGTTGCCTACTTGCACTCTAAACTGTCAACCATTGGCACTCACTCAATGGCGTACACACACAATACGCTCGCACATGGGTGCAACTCATACTGACGCTTCGAAAAGGACAGCAGGAGCAATTTGTCAACTGTCGCCGATACAAAGGAGTCCGTCAGTCTGTTGCTGTGGTCTAAGCAAATTTCAAGGGGCGGTGATTGACGACCGTTTGAGACTTAACGAAATGCCGTTGAAATGTTTTCATATTCATAATTATTAAAGAAATGCACACTTGAATTCTCTTCGTCAAAGCGAACCAAAATGTCAACAACTCCGCTGACATGCCCCATTCTTCCTTCACTCGGATCGGGTCCTTTTTCGTATCCTTTTCTTTAAATTGAGTTCGGAATGTAGATTGAATGAAGGTTGGCTGCTCGTTTCGCTCGTGCACCGTAGGAACTTTTTGGTTGAGCTTGTGTATTTGTCGTTAAGTAAATATAGAATATATGCGTATATAAATAGCAATAGGAATATAGGGTTAAACTTTGGACACCATAGGAAAAAGCCTATACAATCATAATTATTAGCAAATAATGGCATATATCTGACAGAGCTATGCCTAATGCTTCAGATATCCCCAGGCTGGTTTTCAGCTCTTGCTTTCAGGTGAGGTTTGTACTTTGAAAACCGCTTGATGAAGTTGGTTTTGCGCTCTTGTTACACCCTGAACCCATTAAAAATGGGAAATCAGTGTATAATGTTTTTTTCAGGTAAGATTTGTACTTTGAAAACCGCTTGATGAAGATTTGAATTAGATTTTGTTTGTCTGTTTGTTTGATACTAAATCATATTTATGTTAAAGCCATCCTTAACGAATGTAGTGCCACATGGCTGTGGGCTTGCGTGCATTGTTTATCATGTCGTGCCAATGCTGACAACCAGTTCCACTTTCCTGGGGACCAAGTCCAAAGCAGCCGATTTCAGTTGCTTCGCTACCCGCACCAACCACATAGATCTGCACATATTAAAACAATATATTGTGTTACAATTGACAATAATGACCACGGTAATCTCACCTCAATGGCGGAGCTCTGTAAGTAATTTGATTGTAGATTGAATGTAAATGCCTCGTTCCAAATGGGATTGCTGAGGTCATCGGATTTCGAAATGCTTGTCTTTTTCTTCTTTATGCGCTTTCCGTTTTGTATCAGATATATCTAACATGAAGTCGTTTAATAAAAATAGATATTCAATTATGCTCAAATTGTTGCCGTACCTTGACATACGGCTCCTGAATAGTATCCAAATTTCTGGCTTTCATTATTACAATGGTCAGACGTTCTGCCTGTGGAAGGAAGTTCAAGGAGCAGAGCAGTTCTGGTCGATCCTCTTTAGGTTTCTTGGTGCGCAGCAAGTCGCCCCAGATCTAAGTCGAATAAAATAATAAGAAAGAACAAATGTCAGAACATTTTCGGAAATCATTGAGCACAATGCTTACCTCGACGGACTTTGATAGATCTAGGCCACCCACCGAAATACGAACTTCACCAATAATGTCGTTGTGCGAGTATCTATCGTAATCGAGAACCTGCAGGACAAGCTCTTTGCCCTGCAGCTGATCACGGGAAACCGGAAACTTGAAATGCTGATCAAAGTATGGATTCGACTCGCCGCGGTGTATATGAGTTTGACGCTTGCGATTATCTACATCTGGCTGAAGCATCAGACGCACGTAAGGGTCCCTGAAGCCGCCCTCCTCAATGGAACTCAAATTGTGCGCTGTAAAGGAACTCGAAGTGTTAAAGCTTTAGTTCTCAGATATGGAAGCTAAAATGTACTAACCTTCAATTAAGTGAACCGTTAAATCGAATAGGTGGTAATCATATTTTACCCGCAAGTGCAAACGGCCCACAGCATGGCTAGTTTCGGGGGCCGTCAGGTAGATTGGTCCATCGGGCATTCGGTATAGGTCCGGCTGTAGGGCACCCAGAGGCGAAGCAGGACCCACAGTTGGGTCAATGCCGGGCTGAGGACGTGGGGGTATGAGCAGTGGGGACAGACAGCGACCAGTATTCACGTTCATGCTCATGCCCTTGCTAACAACAGATCCAACACCACCAGTCATAACCATATTCGGTGCAGATCCAACACCGACCCCACCAGATAAAGAGGCTAGGCTGCTCTGGGATGGGCTTGGGGTCCGCATAACACTTACATCAGCTGAAGCCGGGCTGCTGCAACGAGCATCCAGCGAAATAGTCCGCATGGGACTGGGCGAACGGGCCAGATGGTGGGGAAACGCTGAATCACTCGGAAGAGAACTTCGTCCGTCGGGACCAAACGTCCTTATTTGGGGTGAAGAGCCGCGATGTCCCTAATATTTGACATTGCGTTATTATTAAACAGAGAACAATGGTTAGAGAATAGAGTTTTGGAGGAGTAAACTCACCGACTGCCGGGACGGAGCGCTATCCATACTGCTCTGACTGGATATTGAGGGTGTACGCTGTAGGCGCGGTGGAAAGGAACGGCTCTGATGGTGCAAGTGCAACGGGCTGTGAAATATCTCAGCAGGACCACGCAAAATGTCAGATGGAATCGAATTGGTCGGTACATACGGGATGCCATGAAGCTGTGTGGCCGGTTGTATTGTGTGTGACTCCTTAGAAATGTTGACTTCCTGCAAACGGCACAAATTCGAATATTTAAATTTGGAACTAAGGCGGAAGTGAATTTTGGTAAAGCACCTCTGAATCCGTCGGCAAATCACAACTGTCGCTGCCACTACCGGCGGACACACTGCCAATGCCGCTCGTCGTCGAGGTCACCGACGATGCCGAGGGCGGCGGCGTCATCGGCTGCAGCGGCGGCGGCGTCGTGGATGCTGCACCCTCGCTTCCTGGCAGCATTTGGGTGCAACCATTGCTGCCGCCACTGCCGCTGCCACTGCCACTACCACTACCACTACCAGTATTTTCGTCAGCCGAATTGCGGTCAAGTGTAACACGGCGAACGGCACCAACGCGCTCCTTGGCCATGCGGGACCACGATTCGATTCGCTTGTGTGCTAACCAACAGGCAGCCGGACCCAGGCCACTCATATTATGTATGTGTGGGCTTTGATCTTACGCTAAATTAATTTTTCTCTTCACTTAGCTGTTGAATCACGGATTCAATTCTCGGAACTCTTATTGTAGAGGGAGAGAGATGGATGTGGAATAGTACTCGTATTAGAAACTCGAAAGCTTTTTGTTGGAAGGATTCGGTGGTCTTACTACATGGCTATGGCAAACCTATTCAAACTCTATTGGTCCACGCTATCTGTATTATTAACAAGACTGTAAGACAAGTTTTGGCAAGTGCATAGCCTTGATATGCAATACCGTAATTGTACAAGAATGTCCGTGGCTCTTGTTGCTTATAACTGCGCATCACCTGCATCACCACAGAAGAGCATCGCAAAAAGCACGATTTAGGTACATGTGTCCAACAAGCAGCGACAGCCAATGGGCAGGATTGTAGCCTTGGAACGAGAAGTGTACCAAGTGGTAAGCCACGACTACAAATGTGCAGATGCAGATGCATTAAACACTGTTGCATACATATGTATAGTTCTAGTTCAACATTCCAAGGCCGTTCGCTTGACACGCCTGTGCCTAGCAAGGCAACGTCAGCAAATGAATGGGAATCAATCCCCAAGCGGCGATGCCAGGCTCGATGCCTACTCACAGTGTTACGCAGCGTATCGAACACGCAATAAGAATTCATTTGCAGTCACACCCAATACCATAGTTCAAGTAGATTCCTCAATGACAAGCTGGAGGGTTGACGATTATGTCCGATGAAGAGCAAAATGAACGGAGGGTATGTTTCTTGTGCAATACAATTGTAAACAATAAATGTATTTTCAAGTATTAAATAAATTAAATGAATTTAAGCACGTGTAGCAAATGACACCAAAACACACAGAGTGCGAGAGGGAAAGGGAAGAGCGAGCGAGCGAAAAAATCAYAGACCAACCCCCATGTTAGTTCGGGATCATAAATATACGTTCTCTGTGTGAAAATGCTTACACATATACATACACATATAAAAAGCAAATGCAATGTGCAAATATATGTACTTTTATAAATGTTTATATATCTATATGTATGTGATGTACAGATCTACTTCGAATGCGTATGGTCAGTGAGTCGCGTGATGCACTTAATATTTCCGTCCCGGTCTGTGTATATCACATTCTCCTAGCAAATCATATGCTCTTTTCATGAACAAGTTTAAGTTACGCACATAATTCTAACCAGCTATTGTCAACAGTCGCGTTCGTTTACATGTGCTGTCTCATTAAGTCCCGGATTATGAGCACTTCCTACTAAAATATATAATTCGTATCATTGAGAGGCACCCAACCGCACCGTTGCTAATTGACACCTAAACTATAATCAAAGGGCCGACGGCCAAGCCCATTTTTCAACGCCAGCGAAGAACGATGACACCTAGCCACACACCCAGCCACACACACAGGCACAGACATATGCTCATATGCCCTTGTGGTGGTGGCTAAAAGTCCTATCAAATTCGCTGCAGAAAATGTGGAAAAACAACCCAAAATCAGGAAGAAAAGTGGACTCACACAACGTGCTCATATCATGGCGTAAAATTGCATAGAAAAGGCATTTTAATAGTTTGGCATTTCGCAGCTATCATTCGCATATAAATGTCAACCCCGAAAAAAGGTGATCCTACGTAAAAATATTCCGAGGGTTGTTGGTACTTTGAAGCAAGGATTCGCCTACGTGTACGTTCAAGGGTAATATCAAATTAAAATTTTCCACTTAGTTTAATTTGTTAAGCCTTGATTAATGGCATTTTCATAGATTGCTTTTGTAACGTTCTCGCCATTGATCTTCCTATCTGTCTGAACAATTGAGAACGTACCAAAAATAGTTTCAGAAAATAGCAACTATTAAGTTCCCAAGCGGTGCGAATAATTTAGTATTGATTGCGGATTACTAAGATGAGTGTAGGACAAAAATTCCATATTATTGATTGCGTCGGAAATTGAACATATTGATCCCAACTAGTAAGGCTGGATTTTTACTTTGACTGATTTTTTTCCTTTTTCTTAGCGCCACGTATATTAAAGTTGTCACTACATTTGATCATTGTCCGAATGGACAGATTTTAAATACACTAACACATTCGAAAAAATTCTATTATTATGTTAAATAAGGAGAGGAAAGTTATTAAAAAGCAGGCGATGAAAAAAAAAACCCTCGAAAACAACGAATATTATGAAAATGAGGCTGTTTATTCCGATAATCTCCAGAGAGCACATCTAAATTGTTAGTGAAAAATCAGCAAGCCCTCAGTTCCCCTAATTTTGGGTCTATATATTTATTGATTATGGCTTTACGTTTCCTAAATCGTTTCGGATGTGGCATCATTCGCATTCCTTGTGCTATTAATTTCCCCGCCTGCAATCCAATGTTTAATATGCAGGTGCGCAATATTAGTAAGAAGAATGCTTCTGATGCCATATCGACAAACGAACAGTGTCTATATGGGCGTCTATCTTTCCAAAACTGTTTTAAGAATACGTATGTTAATGAAGACCATATGCTGCAACCAGACACATAATACGTTCTCCTGCAGATATGGAAAAGAAAATAGAGCTCCCAAAAGTATAGGCCGAAAAGCGCTATCGTGGCAAATAAGGATGGAACAAGGATGGACGGTGTAGCCAAGCATAATACAGATCCAAATACATATATTCATTTATTTGTGTTCCGTGTGAGCTGAGAGGCCTGCTGACGTCAAGTCCTATATGTTAATTTTGAAATTCCAGTTTACTATACCTATGTGCATTTTATTTTTGATCATTTCTTATTAACCAAATTCTAATTTTCCTACTATAAGCTAGCTAATTAAATAACCATCTAACAAAATACTGTACACTTGAAAGTCTAGTTATAAATTAGCATATGTGTAGGAACAATCCAGCCTACTCATATTGTGTTTAGTAGGCTAACTGCGTATATTTAATGCAGTTAATGCAATCGACTCTAATCGGGCAGTCTATCTAAAATACAGATAATTTGTAATTTCTGTACAAGAATCTGCTGCCAAGAATCGTGAATAAAGTAGATAGTCGAGATATATCTTACACAATTTGGGAATAATGGGAAATGAATAATTTATTATTATTGATAATGAAATTGCTTGCGTTCTTTCGTGCTGGCGAACAGACAGCAAACGGGTATATCAGCTGCAATAAACTATACGTATATACAATAGTGTAGTCCCACCGACTTGTTCGCCATTGAAGTTGACAAAACAATTAACCAACAACGCTCAAAAGAATGGAAATTGGCTTGAAAATATTTGACACTGAGTAGGTTGAACGGAAAAGAGCAAATGGTATCAGCCAAACACAGTGGTCCAGTTCTACAGATTATACTAAGCAGGTATTTCCGTTCTTTAAGCCCATGTTAAGTCATTTAAATAATTGTGCCACAAACGATTTGCGTACAATGGTACAATGCCGTGCAAAGTCTGGAAAATTCAAATGCATTTCATAACAGACACGAGAGATGCGGCCGGAAATTAATATACAAAAACAGAAGCTCATTATACGCTTACCTACACTGACACATGGACGTAGGTATAGCGGTAACGGTAACGGGAACTGAGGAGGAGGAGGTATGTGAGAGCGGAAGATAGTGACAGAACGTGACACACAGTAACAAATTTTGATGTCCGGACTTGTCAAAATTAATCTAATTTATCCTAATTGTATGTGACTTTAGCTTGACTTATAGCCTAGGATCTCGGCTCAAATAAAAGTAAGTTTAAGGTCGGCTACAAAAAGTGAATAGTTTTAATATTAGAATGTTTGGAGGTGGCTGGATGATCTGATGATGATTTGAAAGTTACCCAAATAATAGAATGTTCTTTTTGCCTTGGCATTACAAATGCTTAGATTAAAGAATATAGAATAATTTGCATTTGAAATTTTTAATTCGAACCATTTTAGTCTTCATATAGCAATCATAATTAAATGCGTATAAATATTTTTGACTTGCCTGGAAAAAAGTATGTTGAATTGAAGAAACTATTCATTTTAATAATAATTACAGTTAATTGAAACTCTGAGATAGATACAAATTGCCTTACTATTAAAGGATCTTATTTATGAATATTATGGATTAGATTAAAACTGTTATTGCGCAATTGCAACCAGTAATAGAGCGAATGGTGAGAAAGGGCCAAAACACTTGTTGACCGGGATTTTATAAATGGGAAGCATTCGTTGATAATCCGCTCATGAAACGTCAATACAGCCCGTCTGGCTGTCTGTCGGTCTTTCTGTCGGTCGCTCAGTCTGTCAACATGTTTACAAAGCATCAAGCTGTAGTTCAGCCAGACATCCAGACCCGGCGGCTAGAAATTAATCAACAATACAATGGAAATTGTGCGGCTGCTAGAATGCAGTGCGGTAGCTGTGATAGCTTTTCATTGTGCCCAGTTGCTCCTAGTTTTATATCAATTTGTTATATAGCCCCGAGGCCACACACATTCGCATACGCACACGCACACACACATCAAATAAGGGATTTGTTGGAATGTGTTTAATACCAGTTTGTGTTATATCAATGCTCATACCCCGAACCCTTTCAGCATTGGATGTCTGAACGCGTCGATCGCGGAACCTATGAGAGCTAAAGGTCTATCATTATTTATGTGGGCGCCTGCAGCTCGCACTGATCAAATTTATTTAAGACAGTCGATTACTCTTCTCTTAAAATATATCACTTCGGCAGATAATATGGCTATCATTGGATCTCTAACGTAGAGGTGGAGCCTAGAAATGATCCTGTAGTTAAATATATAATTAATGCATTTCCGAACTTCACAATATTATTTTTTCTTTAGCAATATTATGCTTTGTATTAGATTTTCTAGGTAAGTAATCTGATACATAAAATAAATTGCTAAAATTTTCTACACTTATATAAAGGCAATTCTCAAAAAAAAAAAAAAAAACAAGTAAGAACGTTGCAGTCGGGCGTTACCGACAGCGGAATACTCATTCAAAATCCATCAACAATTTAGTAATTAAGTTTCGCTCTAATACTGTAGAATATACAGGTTTTTCCGATTTGCCACGCCCCTACTGGGCGTAGACACCTCATTTTTGGTCAGTTCTTAGAACGTGATAACGGTACCCTAACTGCAAAGTTTGAATACTTACCCTCAAAAAAATGTTAAAATTACAGGGTATTTTTCGATATGCCACGCCCCTAAAGAGGTGTAAAAATTATTTTTGGGTCATCGATAGAGGAGGTTACTGGTAACTCTCTAAATTTGAAGCTTCTAGCTATTATACTTTAGGAGATATCAACGGACATGTATCCGACAAAGCTTTTTGGTCTTGGGTGGTCAGCCCGAGTATATATATAAAATTAGAGGTCTCCGGTATCAATAGTGTCCAAAATATAGCAGAATTTAAAAAATCACTATATCTTCAGGTCCGATTTGCCACGCTCCTAATGGGCGTAGACTTATAAATTGTTTTTTGACTTTATAGAATCATAACATTAGCTGACGTGCAAAATTTTAGCACTCTAGGTTTACAACTTTAGGAGATACAGTTTTATCCAATTTGCCACGCCCCCAATGGGCGGAGATATATCCGCCATAGCTCGTGATCTTGGGTCGACGCGGACCTACATACCAAATTTCTGCTTTCTAGCTCTTTAACTAACATGATTTCTGGTATATCGGAAAATGCATTTTCCGATTTGCCACGCCCCTAGTGGGCGGATCGGAGATATATATGTGTTCCAAATTTCAAGTCTCTAGCTTTAATAGCGCCGAAATAGATTGCGTTCATACGGACAGC